CTTACCCAACAAGGAGAAAAAATCTTTCTCATTGAACTTCCTAGTGACCAAAGGGATACCCAAATACCTCACTGGCAAGTTACCTCTCTTAAACCTAGTCACACTTCAAATTTCAGCAAGCTCACCTTCACCTATCCCACAAGAAAAAAACTCAATTTTATTAACATTAAACCTCAATCTTGACATATTATGGAATTGCTCAAACACACTTAGCACTCTAGTGACTGAATTAGTAAAACCATGATAGAAAATGAGTAATTCATATACAAAGCACAAATAAGTGAAATTAATCCTCCTATACTTGGGATAAAATCTAAAGACCCCACCCTAAGTAACCACATCCAGTAACTTGAAAAAACATTCATCACCAAAACATAGAGGTAATGGGACAAGGGGTCCCCTGCCTCACCCTTGACACACATCATTTTAATTTCAAATAAATATTCCTTAATCATAATAAAAATAAAATAGATTAGTATAATATAGAGAGTGTAAGGATCGATCCGCAGGGACTATATAAGCTGTTGATGAAGTAGTCTTTGATTATTATATAGGTAAAAATTGTGAGTAAAATAAAAAAATGTGTCTTGTCGATAAGTAAAAAGAAATAAAGAAAGTAAATTTAAAGTGGAAATATAATAAAAAAATCAGCCTCCGGCTTCTACTTTTGCCTTAATTTCTGTCGATCATTGAATAAGATTTTAACTTCGGATTCATGCCGGTTACAGTCTACAGAGCCCAACCCCTATAACTTGTTTTCTCTTAAGTGAACCAATATTTGATTATCAGTCCTTATATGGACTAACTGGGACAATCGTTACTAGCATGAACTCATTTAAAAAGCTTTGGAAAAACCTAATTCGGATTATACTGTCTTGCAGAGAATCGAATCCTATCTTAGTTTCCCTTAGCGGACCGCCCCTAAGTGTGTTTACAGGAAGTAAAATATTCTACAAGTCGATCCTTCCTCCCAATTGTTAATCGAAACTACAATCAATCTGACGTGCACTTTTTAAAAAGAAAGTGCTTTTTATTATAAAAGGATGACTGATTATTGATCTTTGATTCCAGAAAACTGATAATGTATCCCGAAAATTAAGTGCTTTTCAATTCTCATGATCATAATTTATTCATTGCTGCAACCTTTGGCTTATAAGAAAATTAGCTAAGTATGACAGAAATCATACTTAGCATTTTTAGAGAAAAATAAAAAAAAAACTTGAAAAGTAAATCCAAAAAAAGAAAAGTAAAAACTCTTATGAATGAAAAAAAAAACAATAACAAAGAAGTTCAAGAGAAAAATGAGATGTGTTTGAAGCTTACCCTAAGTGGTATTTATAGCTTCCTAAAACCCTAAAAATAATGAAGATAAATAACTAATCTAGTGAACACGATTCTAGTAACAATTTTATACACTACTGAGTAATAGAAAATGGGCCTAAAATATTTTTCCATGCAAGCATTAGGAGTTTTAGACACAAGCACAATAAAAATAGAATAAAATTAGGAAACAAAGATGAAGATTGGAAAAAGTACCTCGCAACTACAATAAAATCAACTTTAACAATCTCCCAAGAAGCCTTAAAAAACCATACGATGTACCCATCAAGACCTGGACTTTTTCATTACATTGTCTGAACAGTGCTTTCTTAATTTATTCATCACTGACCTCTTTCAACAAGTTATCAGTAGCCCTAGCAAGGAAGGAGTAATGCGACATATCCTTAAGATGATCCATCAAAGGATAATTAACAGTGGCATCACGAGTATCAATAAGGCTACTAAAAAAATTAACAATTTCATTTAACATTTCCTCAAACATCTCTAAGCGATTGCCTTTCTTATTCTTCAGCAATCTAATTGTATTTTTCTTTCTTTTTTACTAGCACAGTCGAGTGGAAGAATTTAATGACCTTATCCCCTTCATTAACCACTAAACCTTATCTTTCTACTTGTAAAATGCAATTTCAGCCTTATTTAAGTCCAACATATCCACATAAACTTGATGTTCATTCCTCACATCCCTCTGATTAATATGTAAAAGGTTAAACAATTGCACTTTCTCCAGTTTCTCATTGATCACGTGTAAATATATAGAGTTGTGGCACACAAATCTACGCAAGTATACACAATCGATGCAAGTAATACAGTAGTGAGTGAGTATCGTCTCCACAGGGCTTAGAGGTATCTTAAAAGCTAGCTATAGCAAATAAAAACTGTCATGAATTAAAACTAAAACTAAATAATCTAAGTTTAATGGTATAAACAAATGAAAATATAGATGTGATGCATGATATGTATAAATGCTATTGGAATACTGTGGAAAGAATTAAGTGAAGTGGAGTGAAATAGTTGTGGTGAAAGTTGTTGAAAATATAAAGGTGTGCTGAGACAAGAATTTAAGTAAAATGCAAAAGTATGCTAATGCAGGAAAATAATATGAACTTTGGAAAATGAGATAAGATTGACAATCTCACACAATCAAGCTTCTATAGAGGTAAATGGTATGTATTTGCTACGACAATAATATTCTATGCTAAGGATGATCGTTGTTTCTATGAGTATGTTGCCCGACATGATTTTCTAAAAATGCTCATACACTCTCTCAAGCAATGAACCTGATAAAACTAATGATACGCCAATACCCCTTAGCGTAAACTGCAACACTAGCCTATCGTCTAAGTCCTATCCCTTTTAGTCGAATGAAACCCTCTCCTTATCTCTAAAATGGGTTAGAACCTCCCTATCCCGGTTTGGCTCCCTTACTCACGTAGATCTAACCTAGCTCTCTCAATACTAGGTATATATACTTAAAAAATGGCAATCTCTCAAAAGCTCTTACAAGACTAAGCATATTACGCTACATCAAATGGCAATCTCTTAAAAGTTCTTACAATGCTACAACGCATAAAGATGAAAACAAATAGAAAAAAACATTTAAAACATAAAAATATATATTCATCCATTAACACAAAATAAAATCATCCAACACAAATCCAACACCAAATAAGTAAGTTCATGGTGTGGCTAAGTTCATCCAATAATATGTTAGTTTAGTATAAGCACAAAAAAGATAGAAAAATAAAGCATAAGGAGAAGAAGACTCCAAATGAACTGTTGTTGTGACTTAGATCCACCACCATGCAACGCCTTAGCAAGCTAGCCTCAAGCTACCACCTCTCTTGAAGCTCGACTATGGAGGAAACCCCAACAAGGGGATAAAAAAGAAAGAATAAGATGGAAATGAGTATCTGTCTTTCTCACATGCCAAAGCTTTCCAAAAGTCTCTAAAAAATGTAGGGCACCTTAGGTATTTATAGAGGGAATATTTATAGCGTTTTGGGCCCAAAATTCCCTTTTTACCCTAGGTGACACCATTTTCACGTGAATGGGCGGTTATTTATGGCAGGTGGTCCCAAATTTACAGTAGGGGTGGTGAGTCACGTGTGGCCAGATATCTAAGCAAAGATATTTTTGCTATTTTATTTTTTCCGCTCCAGGTTTACTAGCCATATTTTGTTGTGGCAAGTCTTTCAACATTCAATCTCTAGAATACTACAACAAAAATTTCTTCAGCATGCTACAGCAGCCACATCTTCTTTTTAAGCTTTAATTGCCTGCACAACACCACAAAAAAATAAGACATTTCCCTCAGCAACACCAATTTTCAATAAATTTATGATGCAACAAGACTTTACCACCAAATGTAACTATATGATCTAAATGCAATCTAAATACTATAACATGGGATTTAAAACAAATAATAAACTAATTAAAAAGACACAAAAATACATCTTTTTACGAGGTTATCACACCCCCAAACTTAAGCTATTGCTTGTCCTCAAGTAATGGATAATAATTAGCAGAAAATAATTCTATGGAAGAAGTTTATTCAATGCAGTAGTGTTAATATAAAATTCAACCCTCAGAAATAAATTGCTTCAACAAGCTAGACAAGTCAGGATATCAAGAACTTTTCCCTAGAGCAAGATCTTATGCATAAGTGTGTGTGTGATTGTATCCAGTCCATGCTTAACGAAGTTAGAAAAATTATAATCAAGTTACCTATTCTAATTTAGAATTTCTCTTTACCAATTAAGCACACATTTACTCCAATTAACATTAACTTAACATAAATTTAACTTTTTTTAACTCTGCTACGAGGGAAGTCAACCTATCAAAACTACCATCCTACACTCTAGATAAATGGGAGTATACCTTCTATCCCCAAGCTAGTCAGGAAGGGTCATCCCATGACTAATTTCATTCACTCATATGTTATAGTTATCATTTATTGAAATGCAATGTACAAACACTGCTATAGCAAATATGAGTGTCCTTCTACAGTTATGCCGAAACATTTATTCACAATTCAACAACATTTAAGCACAAGGGAGTTTCATTAAGCATTTATCAATTAAACACATTATTCATAAATTAATGCTTCAACATGCAAAGGTTCTTACATAAAAAATTTATAAGTTCCTTAATCATGGAAAACATACAATCATGTATCAAAGTTCACAAAGTCTTGAGCTCTAAAGTTGGTCATATTAATCCTAACATTCATGTACATTCAATTGACAACCATGGCATAAATTTATCATCATCGTACATCCTTAATTTTTTTCCAACAAAATCTATCTTAGCCTAACTAAATGCCATAACATAATTCTAGAAATATAATCGATGCAAATGCTTAACTATGGACACTACCTCCCCCAAACTTGAAGGTTTCATTGTCCTCAATGCATGGATACTAAATTAACTAAGCTACACTACATGAATACAAAAAAACTATGAGAGGTACCTTATTTTGGTGGTGTCTTATCCCTAATATGCCTGGTGCATCTTTTATTTGGGGTTGGTTCCTCTGGTTCAGTCTGTTGGGTAGTCTTGGTTGGTGTTATGACCTCAGATACCACAACAGAAGATTTAACTACAGGTCCGACTGACCTTTTTAAGTGATGTCTAGTTAGGTGTGGTTCTACAGACTGTGGTTATATAGGCGAGAGCAGGATCTCCTCAGTGTCAGCAGCAGAGTCGAACACAAATTCTTCATCGATCTTCTCAGGATCATCAGTATGGGTGGGATTTTGTTGCCCTGGTGAAAGAATCTCCTCATCCTTAGTATTGGATAAGGGGCGGGTGTCAAGTTACTCAATATCATAGGGCTCCATGGCCTCAGATTTTCCCTTTGTCATTTTAACCCTTGGAAGCATAAATCCTCCAAGATCCCTATGTAGGTTTCATCATTCGTCGTAGCAAAAAAATGTGCATGATGGTTGGTCACGTTCCCCAATCTGAAGAAATGGTTTATAACTTTTAGCGTGAAGCAAACTCTCCTCCCCCGCACCCAAATTCCATACTTTGCAGGCTTAGTAAGGTGAGCGTAAAACTCTGTCACGATGGTTGGGGAGACATCACTCGGATGTTGAAAAAAAACCTCCTAGTGGTGCTTTGCTATGACAAAAGTTACCTTAGGGTGAAAAGGCTCTTCACCTTCCACCAACAGAATAAAGCCATGCTCCAAGTACACCGACCAACCTTTTATATGGTGAAATTTCTTCTCCATCGCATCATCTTTAAATTTCTAAACGGAGGTTTGTGTCAGTGGTTAAGAGAAAGAACCTTTATCAAAAATATTATTGTAACGGGCCATCTTAGATGTAACAAAAGAAAACAGAAAAGAAACTTGTGTTGTGGCAACAATGGGGGTTTCACAGTGGAAATAAGGAAAAGAAAGAAAACACAGGTGGTGGTTGTGGCAGAAATCGAGTGGAGAAGAAGTTTGGGAGAAAACTTCAAAAAAAATAGGATTGGGAGATTTTAAAGAAAAACTGGGTGGTTTTGGGGGAGGTAATGTAAAGGTAGGAAAGAGAAAAAAATGTAATAATTACCTATAATGTGATTGGTTAGTTTGAAAAGTTAAAAAGGAAAAATAAATAAAATAATAAAAAGAGATTTGTTTCCTCTCTTTTTGCCACCTTAGCCAAAAATCTACTAGGGTTTTTGTCATCTTTTAAGCTATCTCTCTATGTTGCCACGTGTTCTTGGATGAACTAGGAAATAAACTAGGGTTAAAACTAAAATGAAAAGGAAAGAAAATAAATGATTAAGTTAAAAACTTATTTATATACAAACTACGAAAATAACTGTTGTAGCGAGAATTTAAAGAGTAGGTGGTGTAAACTCTAAAATATCATGGACGAGAAGTGTCGACTTTTCTCGTAATATTAGGGCTCCAGTATAAACCTAGATTCATTGGCCATTCACCTTAAAAATTGAGCCATTGTCGATATTTTTGATGTCCACAACTCTATATGGGTACACATGATGCACTTGAAAAGGTCCAGACCATCAGGTCTTAAGTTTGACCAGAAAAAGCTTCAGCCTTGATTTATAAAGAAGGACTGGCCGGCCTTCATGAAATTACCACGGTAGAATATTTTTTTCGTGCCATCGTTTGGTCTTCTCCTCTTATAGGCAGACATTTTCATAAGTCTGAGTGCGAAATTCCTCCATTTCATTTAGCTCTAGCAACCTTTTCTCACCAGCTAGCTGGGTATTCATGTTGAGCTTCTTAATTTCCCAGTAGGCCTTATGTTCTAGATCGACAGGAAGATGGCATGTCTTGCCATTGACTAATTTGAATGTGGACATCCCCAATAGAGTCTTATAGGTTGTGTGATAAGCCTATAGTGCCTCATCGAGCTTCAGGGACCAATATTTCCTTTTCGGGTTCACCACCTTCTCGAGAATATGCTTTATTTCTCGGTTGGACACCTCAGTCTGTCCATTGGTCTGGGGGTAATATGCTATAGCTATTTTATGTTGCACCCCATACCTCTGTAATGCCTTAGCAATTAATTTATTGTTGAAATTGATACCTTCATCACTTATGATGATTTCACTTGGACACATATTCCACTGCTAAGAGTATGTAAAGATCACCAAAGGATAAAGGGAGGGGTCCTATGAAATCTATTCCCCATGCGTCAAAGAGCTCTATCTCCAGAATATTTTTCCATGACATTTCATGTTACTTCGAAATATTCCCAGTGCGCTGGCATCGGTTACACGATTTGTAGAACTCGTATGCATCCTTAAAAAGTGTGGGCTAATAAAATCCGGACTGTAGGACCTTTTCAGCATTCCTAACACTTCCAAATTGGCCTCCACAAGATGCATCGTGGCAATGGAATAGAATATCCTGTTGCCCTTCCTCAGGGACGCACCTCCTAATTACTTAGTCATCATATTGCTTGAATAAATAGAGCTCGTCCCACTGGTAGTATCTCACATCATGTCTAATTTTCCTTCTACCTTGGCTGTTTAAATCAGGAGGAAAAACACCACTAACAAGGAAGTTAACTATGTTAGCATACCACACACATGTCGCGACAGATAAATTTTTCTTGTTAGAGAATTCCTCCTTGATTTATACCTTGTCATGGCAGTCAATTATATTATCTAGCATATATAAATGATCATCAACATGAATTTCACTTCCTTTCCTATCCTCAACCTCTAAATCAAATTTTTGCATAAAAAGTTTTCACTTAATAAGTATAGGTTTGACATCATTTTTATTCACTATGTATTAATAGCCAAGTGATCAGTGTGCACAATAACATTTGTTCCTATCAAGTGTACCTTAAACTTATCAAAAGAAAATACCACGACAAATAATTCTTTTTCAGTGGTTGTATAGTTTATCTATGCTTCATTAAGTCTGCGACTAACATAATAAATGACATGAAATTGTTTTTACCTCGTCTTTGCCCGAGCACTGCTCCCACAATGTAGTCACTTTCATTGCACATCAGTTCAAAGGGACCTTTTAAGTTAGGAGGGACAACTATTGGTGCTATGACAAGTCTTTCCTACAATTCCATAAACGCGTTGTAGCACTCCTTGTCAAATATAAATGGTTGATTCTGCTATAGCAGAAGACAAGAAGGCTTCAAAATTTTTAGAAGTCTTTTCTGAATCGTCTATAAAATCTAGTGTACCCTAAAAAACTCCTTATATCCTTCACAGTGGTGGGTGGAGGCAATTTCTCAATCACCTCAACTTAGCTTTGTCGACCTCGATTCCCTTCTGTGAAATCTTATGCCCCATCACAATTCCTTCTGTCACCATAAAGTGAAAATTTTCCTAGTTGAGCACAAGATTGGCCTCTTCACATCTCTTTAGTACCTTAGCTAAGTTTCCAAGGCATTTATCAAAATCGTCACCCAAAACGAAAAAATCATCCATGAAGATTTCCAAGAAGTCCTCCACTATATCTGAAAAATGGCAAGCATGCACATCTGAAATGTTGCTGGAGCATTACAAAGTTCAAACGAAATCATTCTAAAGGCTTATGTGCCAAAAGAGAAGGTGAAGGTAGTCTTCTCCTGGTCTTCTAGTGCTATGGTAATCTGATTATACACTGAGTATCCATCGAGGAAGCAGTAAAATGACTTGCCTGCTAATCGATCTAGAATTTGATCAATGAGTGGGGGGAAACAGTCATTCTTCATCACTTTGTCGAGCTTTTGGTAGTCCATACAAATCCTCCAACCCATGATGGTCATCGTCGGTAATAACTCATTCTCCTCATTGCTCACCATAATCACGACTCATTTCTTAGGCACGCATTGCATCGGGCTAACCCACGAATTATTGGAAATAAGGTAAATCACACCAGTATCAAGTCACTTAACAATCACTTTCATCACCACTTTCTTTATTACGGGGTTAAGTCTCCCTTGGGGTTCCACAGAATTGATATGGCAGTCATCTAACTGGATCTTGTGCATACAAATTGTAGGGCTTATTCCCTTCGGATCTTCTATAGTTCACCCTAAAGCTTTCTCATATCGTGCCAGGATATTTATCAAATCGCATTCTTGCTCAGGGGTTAGACTAGAAGATATAATAATAGGCAAAGTATCATCACTACCTAGATAAGTATATTTCAATTGTGATGGCAAAGGTTTAAGTTCCAAGGTAGGTTCATGTTGTATTGAAGGTTTTAGAGGAACAAATTCATCAAAATCTAAAGGTTTGAACCACGTACATGGTCTAGCTAAAAGCAAGCTAGACTATTGTACCTCTGATGAAAATTCCTCGAACTCCGCAATTGCTTCATTTTCATTAAGTCTCTCATAGTCCTCGAGCTATAAAAAGTTGTTGTAACATAACTTTGCAACCTCATCCTCTACTATTGAGTCCACGTCCAACACACATTGGCATTCTTTTGATTCATTTGCATACTTTAGTGTGGTGAAGACGTTGATCGTGACACTCTGGTCAGCCACCCTCATTATGAAATCTCCCTTATTGCAAACAATTAGAATGCGATCAGTGGCTAGAAAAGGACGCCCCAAAATGATGGGTGTGTTGTCATTGACTTCATAGTCGAGAATAAGAAAATCAACAGGGAATACAAACTTATCAACTTTCACTATGATATCTTCAATTCTGCCCTCAGGATGAACGTGAGACCAGTCAGCTAGTTGTAAGATCATGGTGGTAGGTCGAGCATTGTCTATTCCAAGCTTTAAGAACAAAAAATTGGGCATCAAATTTACACTTGACCCAAGGTAACACAGGGCTCTCCCCACATATTTATCACCGATAGAATAATGAATAACAAAGCTACCATGATCTTTTTGCTTTGGTGGAAATTTACTGAGCACATAACATATTCCTTCGTTGTGGTGATATTTTCAAACTTTTTCACCTTTCTCTTCTTTGTGACAATGTCCTTGAGAAATTTGGCATACGTAGGCATCTGATCAATGGCCTCCAGGAGTGGGACTTATAACTCCTTAAAAAGCTTCTGTCTTTTTACTTAAGTTATTACGTGTCTAAAAGTTGTTATCATAGCATTTTAGTTGCATTTAGGTCATATTTGCATGTGGTGGATAAGTTTTGCCTAGGGAAGATTTATTTGGCTTAACGATACTGCTGAGGAGGAAGGTTCTTTGTTGGCTGTGCTGATACAGGAAATAACGAAGGAATAATTTATTTGCCGAGACAACAACTTTTTCCCAGGGCTAAAGGAACATAAAAAGACGATAGTGAGGAACATATTTATCTTGTCGAGGCAAGATTCATCTTGCAGATCTAACGTGGATTAACAATTGATGACGTCATTTGCCCAACTTCATCCTCATGTGCAATCACACCCTTCAAGAAATTGACCACCTCTAGCCATCTTTCCATTAATAACATGGACAAGTCAACGAGGGTATTTAGGGAATTTTCAAGGACACAAAACCCTAGGAATTCCCATTATAAATATCCCATTATAGTCGCCCAGTGAAGAGGAGAAGCAAGAAGAGGATTTACCTTAGGCGTGGAGTAAGCAGGTGCAGTACCTTATCTTTCACCGTTCCCCCACTCAATCATCCTTGGTGCCCCCTATAGCCAGACTTCATTGGAGCAGCGGCTAGGTCCTCGAGAGAGGCCAAGTCGCTGGAGCATACATGGTGGGTGTCAGAATGTCACGACAGAGCCTTGTTTGGGAGTGTTTCTTCTTTTGTTCTTAATTTTATTCTCATAAAAGGGCTTATACTTAAAGTTTAAATTCTTGGATGATATTTGCCACACCATAAATTATTTTACTTGGTGCTGGTTATGGTTTTGATGAAACGTTATTTTATGTTTTGAATAAAGAAGTTTATTTATACTTAATATTATTTGTTCATGTTTAAATATTTTTCCTTGAAACTGTAAGAGCTTCGAGAGATTTCCTGGTGCTTAGACAAAACATTCCTAGATTTTGCAAGAGCTTTTGAGAGATTGCCATTCTTCTAGGAGTAGATGCCTAAATTCGAGAGTGTTAGGGAAGATCTATGTGAATAATGGGATTGATCTGGGATGGCGAAGTTTTAATCCACCTTAGAGATAAGGATAGGGTTTTATTTGACTAAAAGGAGTAGTTACTCGAGTAAGATAGGCAATGAATGCAGTTCACGTTGAGGGGTATTGCCGCAAAAATAGTTTGACAAACCAAGGGTTGTAGTTCATGCCGAGTAATATTACTGTAGCAACTATTCTTGAATACTCTAGTAATTCTGTCAGGAAATTTAAGTATAGCTCACCAAACCATTCTATGCATGGGATAATTCTTCATCTTAGCAAAACTAACCTGAGTGCTCCGTAAAGAAGTCTGCCTGTGTGAGGTTTCTCTGAATTTTTAAACTCAACACTTTTATTCGCCTTAATATTTTGATTTGTTTACTTTTTTAATTTTTCCTTGCCTCAACTAAACTTTTCTGCATCACATACTTCATAATAGTTCTTGCTTATACAATACTTTTCTATTAGTTTATTTCTCCTAGTATTACTTATTTTTGCTTCGACAAGATATTTAGGACTAGTTGGTAATACCTAGTTCTAGCTATTGAAAAACATCAATAATTCTCACCAAACTCTATGAATACAATACTCAACTCACTACTATATTACTTGCATCGATTGTGTACACTTGCACATATTTGCTTGCCTTAGCATATACATTATAAGCGATCAGGGACATTGATGTAGAATTGATCAACGATGTCAACGAACTTCTTGAATTATATGTCATCATTTTGCTTCTTCAGTCTTTGAGGGAAGAGTGGTAGAGGTGTGACTTTTTCTACTACAGGTGGGGGAACAACTTTTGTTATGACATCTATTTGTCCTCCATCAGTAAAGTGACTGGTTGAACCCTCGTTTTTGTCCTTCTCCACATGTAATTCTCCTTGCACTTAAATTTCTTGTTACTCTTCAGATTTTGCTTGCACAATGTTATGGTGAGAATTTTCTTGCTTCTTTCCCCAAAACTTGTCTACTTGATTAAGTTGGGTAGCACTCCTCATCGTAAATGCACTGTATTACTCCTTTCTGTAAGGCTTAGTGCCTTCAGTATCACTAGGGAGACTACCTTGTGGTCAAGCATGTAATGTTTTAGTAATTTGCCCCACTTGGTTCTCCAATGCTCTCAAATATGAGTTGTGGTTTTGCGACAAGGCTGTTTGATTCTGGAAAAGTGTGTATTGGCTTTTAATTATCGATGAGTGCTTACGCAATAAAGCCTTTATTGAAGCCATAAACTCTTGCATATTAGCTTTAAGAGAATTAGAATTTAAATTAGAAGCTGAACCCTCGTTAAAATTCTGCCATGGAGTATATTGTTGCTGAAATCCTGAAGGTTCAATAATATTTTTCTGTGGCCTGTTCAAGTTACCTGCATTGTTGTTGTTTTCCCCTTGATTAGCCTATGAAAAGTTAGGATACTAACACCATCCTAGGTTATAAGTGTTATAATAGAGTTTGTTGTTGCTTAGATTAAAATTCCCCACGTAGTTGATGGACTCTTGATTGCTAGGGAATTCACTCACATGGTGATTGCCATGGCATAATATACATATAGAGCTAGCTAACTTGACTTCCTTCACCTCGTTGGAATGTTGAAAATTTTTCAACATATTTGTTATGGCAAAAAGTTGGGTGGACAGTGAATCCTTAATATCTAATACGAATGTCCTAGGTGCCTTCCTTCCTGTTACAAGCCTTGAAGAATGAAATTGATAGTTAATTTTGACTATCCTATTAAATATGTCAAAGGCCTCTTCGTGTGATTTGTCAAGCAAACTACCATTTTCTAAAGCATCTAACATCATAAGAGTGTGTTCATTTACTTCATAATAGAACATCACGACTTGGGTCCAATCATGGAATTCATGATTGATGCATATGTGAAGAAAACTTTTATAACGATCCCAACACTCATACATTGATTCGTCATCAGCTTGATGAAAACTTGGTATGTCATTTCTTAACTAAGTGTTCATGTTGGGCGGATTATACCATAACAAAAATCTTTTACAAAGATCTACCCAGGATCACATCGAGCTGGATAGAACTCCACTAAGTCAAGTTCTTGCTCAGTCACGCAAAGAATAGGGGAACAACTTTAGCTTTAGCACATCTTCGTGCACTCCTTTCTGTTTGAATTAGTCACAAACTTTCAAGAAGGCACATATGTGTTGCCTTGGATCTTCGCTAGGTATGCCACCAAATTAGCCGATCGAGTTGAACATGTTGAACATGAAGGTTTTTAGCTCGAAGTGGGCTGCATGAATCTCAGGTGTTACGATCCCTAGGTTGAGATAGTCCAAACTATGAGCTAAGTGATCTCTAATAGTTCTCGATCTCGGTAAAAGTTCTTCATTCCTGAATGCTATAGCGTTTGGATCTATTGGATCTTGAACTCATTAAACACTTGGTTTGGTGGATTGTTCACGACTCGATTAGCACGTTGAATATGTAGTCTTCAATGAAATAAATGCTCAATTTTTGGAACTAGAGGATAAAGTGGTTCCTCGATAATTCTTCGGGTCATGCAACAACAAAACCTAAAAAAAAAGTAAACAAAAATAACAAGTAAAACTAAAAACAAAAACTAACTAAAAACTTTTTCTATAACGAAACTTTAAAAATAATCAGCTGCCAATCCCCGACAACGACGTTAAAAACTTGACCGCGTGTAAATATATAGTGTTGTGGCACGTAAATCTGTGCAAGTATACACAATCGACGCAAGTAATACATTAGTGAGTGAGTATCATCTCCG